ACAATTCAAAAGCATCAATTCTTCGGCGGCCAGCCTTCTTTATGGTCCAGCTCTCACTTCCATACATCGCTACTGGAAAAACCATAGCTTTGACTATGTAGACCTTTGTCGGAAGGTGATGTCTGTGCTTTTGAAGATGCTGTCTAGGTTTGTCATCTTTCCGCCTAGAGTGGTCGTAAGACCAGATAGGTGGGATATAAAATAAATAAATAAATAGTTTTGGGTTTTTCGGGCTCTTTGGTCATGTAAATAAATAAATAAATTTCCTCCCAAGAAGCAGGTGTCTTTTAATTTCGTGGCTGCTGTCACCATCTGCAGTAATCATGGAGCCCAAGAAAGTAAAATCTGTCACTCTCTCCATATCTTCCCCTTCTATTTGCCAGGAGGTGATGGGACCAGTGGTCATAATCTTAGCTTTTTTGATGTTGAGTTTCAGACTGTTTTTTGCGCTGTCCTCTTTCACCCTCATTAAGAGGTTACTTAATTCCTCCTCACTTTCTGCCATCAGAGTGGTGTCCTCTGAATATCTGAAGTTGTTGATATTTCTTCCAGCAATCTTAATTCTGGCCTGGTATTCATCCAGTCCTGCCTTTCGCATGATGTATTAAAAGTTTATTACCCCTAGTTAAATCACAGTTGTGAGATAACTTTGTTGTGCCTTTGTTACTAAGGAAAGGAAAATAAATTACAAGTCAGTAGTTATTTGTGGTTTCAAAAACAGTTGTTTCAAAGCGACCTTATTTCAGTGGGGCTGCCCCAAGATACCCGGTTGCCTGAGGTGAAGGATGGCACCTTCCCCTATTGCTGGTTACAAAGCAGAGCCAAACTGAGAGATTCAGCTAACGTCAGCCCTAATGGTGGGCCAGGATTCTCCAGTGTAGAGGAGGAGGGCAGGAGATGGGGGTTGTAAAGCACATGTAGTGCTGCCCACAGCCCTCTTCTTACTATCTGCCACTAAAGCAGCCATGTCGCTCTTAATGCAGGGCAGTAATTTGTCTGCTTGGTATCTAGTGCCACAATTTGCCTCTCTGTTTTCTTAATGCAGGGCAGTAATCTAGTGCCACAATTTGCCTCTCTGTTTTTAGGTCAGGTATATTGTGTTGGCATTGGGAGGAGGCTGGGAAGGACCAGTCTTTGTGACTGACTGACTGTAGGTCATGGGAAAGAATTGTCATCATTACCTCTGCCATCACCCATTTTCATGGTAGCACACAATAAGGATACTTTTAATATGAATGTAACAAGGATGCCAATCCAATTATATGGTAATGATTTTGACGGAAATGATTTTGACGGAAAGGGGGAGGGGAAGGGCAGAAACAGGAGTCTTTATACCCCGAAGACTGCAATCCTGCACTACTTTTTCACCGGAAATATAACCTATAGAGATGGCTGATGGCTATAACAAAAGGACAGTGGTTTTAAAAATGCGAATATATCTTTTGAAGGGTTTGCTGCATGATGTACAGTAACTCTGGGTTAGTGCAATTTTACATGTACATTTTAAAAACTCTAGAAAATAAGTACAAGGATGTACTTTATCCTTTATCAACAAGGAGCCTAGCACACAGAATGAAAGACAGTGCCACAATGTTTATTAAGCAAGGTGATTATTAAGATGACTAATTTGTTCACAGGCAGCATATAGGTGTAAGGATGTGCCATTTGCTCTCCCCCCTCCCCCCCGGCAACTGCCAGAATTCTCCAGAAATTCCCTAGCACAATTCTAGGTATTCCAGCCTATAGACCGAAACCTACAGATAACTACATTTTGCTCGCTTGCAGCTCAGTCTGTTTCTGAGGCTGCATGATCTTGATTCTTGTTGTTAAAATAAAAAAGGGGGGGGAAGGGGGAGGGGAAAAAAGAAACTGCCACAGTGCTTTCTGGGTATTGTAGTTCTTTGGAAGGTGGCTTCTATTGAACCTAAAAGGCAGCAAGACTGAAGCTCCCATGAACCACTGTGGCAGCTTTGTATCTATCTATCTATCTATCTATCTATCTATCTATCTATCTATCTATCTATCTATCTGTCTGTCTGTCTGTCTGTCCGTCTGTCCGTCCGTCCGTCCGTCCGTCCGTCCGTCCGTCCGTCCGTCCGTCCGTCCGTCCGTCCGTCCGTCATCTTCCTTCCTTCCTTCCTTCCTTCCTTCCTTCCTTCCTTCCTTCCTTCCTTCCTTCCTTCCTTCCTGTTGATCAATGATGCGACTCAATATAAGGCAATATTGTCTTGTGTTCGTACTATTTCCAAACACATAAACTGAATTAAATTCTCTAGGCATAAATGTATTCCATTTAGGGGATCCTCCTTTTCTTTCTCTACTTCTCTCCCTATTTCCTTGAAATTATTAGTATCTTATTTGGCAACTGCAGCCACTATTTTTGGAAACTTTTAATACTAGTATTAAATTTACATAACAAAGCTAGATCTACAGTATGAATGGCCTTTGAATCCCCATATAAAGACAACTTACAGTATTAATAGGAACATTTAAAAGCTAAATAATAAATTATTACAGTATTTAAGAAGCATTAAATAGATATGATATTAAAATCCATAAATAAGAGGGTATTTAAGAAGCATTAAACAGATATGATATTAAAATCCATAAATAAGAGCAATATCAAAAATTGAAGTAAAAGACCAAAATAAAATAACCCATTTTAAAAAATCCTCTTGAATTTAAAAAAAGCTTACCTGAAGAGAAAGATCTTCGGCTGCTTGCAGAAGGGCATCAAAGATGGGGGCCAGTCTGGCCTCCTGTGGGAGGGAGTTCCAACGCCTGGGAGCAGCAACAGAGAAGGCCCTCTGTCATTTCCCCACCAAGCACACTGTTGAGGGTAACAGGGCGGAGAGAAAGGCCACCCCTGATGATCTGAACAGCTGAGTAAGCTCATATCTCTGGCTTAACGTGATACCTAATTTGGCCTTTAGAAGCATCGTCTCCATGATCCAGGGCCACTAACTTGTCTGATGTTGACCAGAATCCTTTCTAGTGGGGGTAAAACATCATGTTTAACCTGTTGAACTCCCATGCTATCCCCACTTGCAGTATGGGAAGCTGGACATCAAGTGGATGTTACTAGAGATAGGATTTTTCCATTTCTTGGACTACAAATCTAATACGTTGGACTACAAATCCCATGACATCACATTCGGAGAGTCCTGCCTGATGTACATACACGTTATAGATACCTAAACGTGGCAAACCTAGGAGAAAAGGCCTAAACTGGAAGACTTTGAGGCTTAACTCGACATAGCTCCACCTAGCTTCCTCTTCAGAAAGAAAGCTCCCGGCTAACAATGGGGCAGGAACAGAAAGCCTAGACCAAGTGAGGCCTAGCTAAGCCTTCAAGCCTTCCAGTTTAAGCCTTTTCTCCCAAGTGACCCACATTTATGTGTCTGTAAGGCATATGCAAATCAGAATGAGGAATCGTGGGATTTCTAATCCAAGTGATCAAAAAATCCCATCTTTATACATTGCCCTCATCAAAACAACAGGGTTTCAACTTGGAGAAGGGGGTAACAAATAGCCCCTTGCACATGCTCCAAAAGAATCCAATTGTTTGTGCACTAGATGGTTGCACAGTGAGTGCAGGGAATGTAGATTATTTGGCTGAAAGTTTGCTTTTGAGACAATTGAGGGCAACTCCTCATATTATGACATCCAATTGAGAAATTCTTATCAACTAGGAGGTTACAGAAAGTGCGAAAGGATTCCCTTGGAATGAAATGCCAAAGGACCTTGCAGTTACAAAAAATGCTGAGATCAAGTGGTTTTTCATCACCCTTTAAGTGTTCTGCTCTGTTCCATACATTAATTGATAACATTTTTCTAGGTTGGGAGTGACATGGAATAGGTCCATGCTTGGGGACAAACGTATGAGGACTGGCTCTAGACTTGCTCTTTTGTAAAGAGAAAATCTCTTTCCATCCATACAAGAATCAAAGATCCAGTAGAGAGACTGCCGGTGGAAGAAAGTGGGAGATGCTATTCCAGAAGAACTGGGGGACACGAGGGCTGTGGGGAAAAGGAAGAAATTGACAAAAATCATACACACTTTTCCTCCCATGGCACAGTCTTGCCGATCAGTAATCCGAAACCCATAGGGACACACATTGTTATTTGTTGGTGAATATGATAAATCTTGAAAGTTTCTTGTGGAAGTGGCATCTGCACTTACACCAAGGAGAGTTAGACTTTGTAAATTTGGTGCTTCTCTTATTCCAGCTGTGTTTATCTCTACAGAATGAAGAATTACTTGTTGAACTCTACAGAAGCAGTCAAATTTAAGATGGATAGATGTTGTAATGGTTTGTTCAAGAGCACCCATATGTATTTTAGTTGCTGTACACCATCTGGTACAACTTTTATTGGGACATAAATTTAAGAAAGTAAATCTAAATGGATATTCAAATCCATTTTGGATTTGGATATTCGATCCCCTAAATGGATATTCGATCCCCTGAATTGTAAACTGTGTATCTCTGCTTCTGTTTTGGGTGCCAGTGCATTATTATCAGTGGAGAAAGTGGTGCTGGAAAGACTGAAAGTGCCCATCTCATTGTGCAGCACTTGACCTTCCTGGGAAAGGTAGGTATTGGCTACCATGGAGCACGGGTGACTATGTGGCAATGTGCTGGCTGCACCGGCATGACGTGGCCCCATAATTTAGCATTACCTGGACGAGCCTGTCCAAGTCATGGGCTTACGTACTCTTCACTGCTTTCCTTCATTGGACCCAAGAGGAGGTGATCAGAAGCCTCCATTTTCAGTCAGGAATACTTCGCTGTTATACTTGAACACAGACACCATGGGGTGTATTTTAACTATGAGTTAACAGAACGAACTTTAAAATCAGCTACTTGCAAAGCTTGGAAAAGTTACTTTTTTGGTGTCCTAGAATGCCCCAGCTGGGATGTGCGTTTTCCCAAGCTCTGACTATTTTAGTTTCTGATCTTGGAACAAGCCATAGTTTATTCAGATCTGGCTGCAATGCTAAACTATGGCTAGCCAAGAATTGAATGAAAGCTTCTGAACTCCTCATCAAAGTCTCCCACACCATTGTCCTTATAAGATTAAATACAGTGGTGCCTCGCACAGCGAGGTTAATCCGTTTCGGATTAACCCTCGCTGTGTGAAAGCATTGCTGTACGGATCAAAAAAAAGCCATTGGAATGCATTAAACAGCGTTTAATGCGTTCCAAATGGTCAAAAACTCAGCGTACAACGATGCTTTTCCGGGTCCGGCAGCCATTTTCGCGCCCTCCCCTCGTTTACCAAGGGCGCGAAAACGCTGTGCGCGGCTGTTCCGGCAGCCATTTTGTACCCACCGAACAGCTGATCGGCGGGTTGCAAAGCCGAGGTCGGTAAGCGAACCACTTACTGACCTTCGCTCTGCGATTTTCGCCCTATGCGGGCATCGTTTTGCAATCGCATTTGCGATCGCAAAACCGGCCTCGTAGAGCGGATTCATCGCTCTACGAGGCACCCATTGTGCGAGGCACCACTGTAATTTAAAATTACTCGCAGGAGCAACAACCCATTGGCCTGATTATATAAATACCCCAAGCAGATGGCTTAGGGTAGCATTATTTTCAGGACTACTGGCAATTCTTCAGGGAACCTGGGAGGTGGGGCCTGGCATTCGTTGCCTTTTTATGCAAGATGCCTGGACAAAGTTTTTGTATGACATGCATTTTATAACAGAAAAGAGGCAAGGGGATCAATTATCCAGTTCACTTGCTAAACTCAGTGACTGGCTACTGGAGTGTAATTTTTAGATGGATTGTTAGGCATTAATGTTTTGACTAGGTTTTTAGTATTCCTTGTGTTTAGCATCCCTCAGAATAGTATATATTTGTTCCTTCATATTTCTATACTTAGTGTTTTTAGCTTTAGTATTGTATTTTAATGATGTAAGCTTCCTCTTCATATTCATTGTTTTTAGCTTTAAATATTTTCTTTTAATTGTGTAAGCCACCTTGGATCCTTTTTAAGTCGTACAAAGTAGTCCAGTAGAACTGGGTCATGATGGAGACCTGTGGATTTCCCAGTGGGAGTTAGTCCCACTGATGTGAGGATACCCCTTTAAAAACCCTGTCCTTCTTACCCATCAATTTAGCATATTCCATAAAAGCCAGTGCAACACGTTTGAAAGTGAAGGATGGGTTGGCTGCACTCCGTTGCCAAAGGGACGCCCAACTGTACTCACAATGTGTTTGCACTCTTCAGGGAAGCTCCGTCTACGTCCCCACCAGGACTTTTAGTTATTTTTACTGATGTATTAGATGGATTACCTTGTTTTACATTTTTATTATCGGCCATCTGTAAAAATGCTTACGTGAACAAATAAGGAGGCCGACCTGTTTACTCAGACCTGTTTTGTCTTGGAAGGCTAGCAATCGTGCTTTGCGGGAGAAGATTCTCCAGGTGAATCCTCTAGTAGAGGCTTTTGGGAATGCCTGCACTGCAATCAATGACAACTCCAGTCGTTTTGGAAAGTACCTGGAGATGATGTTCACGCCAACTGGAGCTGTAATGGGAGCAAAAATTTCTGAATATTTGTTGGAAAAATCCAGAGTTATAAAACAAGCTGTGTAGGTAGAAGTTAGACTGTTTTCACTTAGAAATGTTGTTTGTTTATTAGTTCTTCACTATCTATTTCCTCTGGTTTCTAGGCTTCATATTTAATAAGTAGGCCACAATGCATGACTGGTGAGCTGTGTTGGGGTTGCTGGAGTACAAGTTCTACAGACTGGATTACACTTCCAAACCAGTACATGATATGGCTGACCTTATGGAATTTTGGTCCCTGAGAGCCTTTTGATTCCCTGACCTGGAAAAAAAGTCCTGTAAGCATGTGTAGAGTTATCCAGACAACAAATAGGCACTAAGGACAAAACGATGAAGAGGATTCGCTTCTAGTTTGTTTTTTTTAAACTTTTGACACAGAACTAGGAGATCTCTGTTCAAATTCCATCCCAGTCATTACAGTGGTGCCTCGCTTGACGAGGATAATCCGTTCCATTCAAATTGCTGTTAAGCGAAATCCTCGTTGAGTGAAATGAAAAAGCCCATTGAAATCCATTGAAAACCAGTTCAGTGCGTTCCAATGGGCGAAATACCTCAGCGTCCTGCGATGATCCTCCATAGGGCAGCCATTTCCGGTGCCTGTAAAGCGAGGAATCCATCCTAAAACACAGTGGGGAGCCATTTTAAACAGCGGGTGGCCATTTTGAAGACTTGATGATCAGCTATAAAGATCATCGTTAAGCGAAAAATCGGTTCCCGAAGCAGGGAACCGATCATCGTTAAGCGATTTTTTCCTATTAAAACATTGTTTTGTGATTGCAAAAGTGATCACAAAAACTTCATCGTCAAGCGATTTCTTCGTCTAATGAGGTAATTGTCAAGTGAGGCACCACTGTATTTTACATCATTGCCTTCTTAGCAGGTCACTTCTTCTAATCTTAGTAAAACAATGGAATTGAATTATACGAATGTATACAATACTCATAGGAGAATGGACATTGACCACAGCTGCCTTTTTCCTGACCATATCTAGACACATGCTGTGTTGGATGGAAAGAACAGCCATTGTAGTCCGGAATATCCAGACACCTTTGCATGTATCAGAAAAGTTCCACGTTGTAATGGCTGCACACATGGGAGCATTTGACAGATATAGGAACTGTCCCCCCCAGATCATGTCAAGTCACATTGATTAGAAAGGCTCTCTGTAGATCAAACCTCAGGTTGAGATGTGTGTATATATATCTGGGTAATATGTGTAATAATTTTTGCTTGCTGTTCATTGCTACACACCTAAAACAGCCAAGCTTTGTGAACCTGCTCTTCATACCTATTAAGGTCATGATTCATAAGTATGCAACTTATGTGGTGACTCTTTTTTAAATTTTAACAGAGGGGAGAAAAATTTCCATATCTTTTATTATATTTATGCTGGCCTTTATCATCAGAAGAAACTCTTTGAATATAAACTCCCAGAGGAAAAACCTCCCAGGTAACTGTTATTAATTTGTTTTTAATGCCAGCTATAATTGTCTATTGATTAGCTCTTGCTTTCAGAGTGATGCTTTAAAATGCCATATAGTCTTTCTCTATTGCTTAAGGATCCCTTATAATTCTCTCAGGTACAAAAGCAGATGGGCAAAAAGGAATTCTGTTATTTAAATATCATTTAATAACATGCAAGATCTGCTGGATAGCTCCATGGTGTAAATATCAGGCTGTGGAGCCAGAGTTGGGAGTTCGATTCCCCACAATGCCTCCATGGCAGGGGCTGGATTTGATAATCCATAGGGTCCATTTCAGGTCTGCAGTTCTAAACTAACAGCAACAACAAAAGTCCAACAAAAACGCATTGTGGATTAAAGACATTTGTAAATAAACTCAAGGAAAACAAATGGATGATATTGTAATAACAACTGAAATGATTAATAGGCAAGTAAATGATGTGAAAAATTGGAGTGTACCTGGTCCAGATGAGCTGCACGGATTTTGGTTAAAGCATCCAACAAGTCTCCATCAACATATAGCAGTGCAATTTAACAGCTTACTTCAAAATTCTACAACTGAAGACTGGATGACAATAGGCCACAGATTTCTGATAATAAAAGATCATCAAAAGGGCAATGAACCCAGTAATTATCAACCAATTAGATGCCTTCCAACAATGTACAAGCTCCTCACAGAAGTACTTGCAAGATCTATATATAAATACTTAACAGACAACTGCCTATGAGCAGAAAGGGAACTTTAAAAAGTCAAGAGGATGTATATTAGAGAAATTTTGCACAAATTACAGAGATTTTGGGAGGGGGTAACGAGCGCTTTGCCTTTCTCTCAGCTTATGAGGAGGAATCTCACGGGGGCTTCCGAATTCAAGGTTGGGGTGTCTCGTAGTGTTGAGTCTATGTCAGTTGATGAGAGCAAGACATTTAAGAAGTGCGCTTTCTATCCCTTTTACAGAGTTAACAAAATGTTTGCCTTCTACAACCCCCTACCCAAATGGATTGTTTCACAATGGTACACTATTATTGGCAACAGCAAGTCACGGTCTGGGCGGGGCCAAACGTTAACACCAGTTGGAAAATGAACATCCACTCCTGCCAACTAGGTCATGGGCTGCCCCTGATTGTTGGGCTCAGGATCTGGAAGGCAAAGTTCGCCTTTTGGTGTCCCAGTTTGCCTCCATTGCCTTGTTATGATTGGACCAATAAACATCTAATGTAACCATTTATGAATCTGTCTTTGAAAAAAGTTGCACAAGGACAACTAGCCATTTGCTGCTCGTGATCTCCAGTAACATTGCGGAGAGAAGCCTTGGGAGGAAAAGTCTGAATGTGTAGTGAGGACGGAATAACTCAGTGGCAAAGAAGAAAGACACGTTTTAGTCTCGCTCAAATACAGAGTTTGAAGTTCCTTATTGGAGTGAATCACAGCTTTCCCCTTTTTGGAGAAGCAAAAAGAAGCATCACTCTGGGACACCCCATCAGTGTCTAATCTTTCCTCTGGCTCCTTTCTTTAAGGAGGAAGCAGGTGTTGGCCCTCTTCCACCCTGCTAACTGCAGCCTTCTTTCTTCATTCCACAAGTTGGCAAAAACTACTGGGAAGTGAGTGACCAGCACAGCCTGAAACCATTTCTTGACTCTAGAAGCCCAGCCTGCATTCTGTTTGCTGGTCATGCCAAAATGTAACAATGGTTTTTATCTAAGCAGACATTTAAATTTAGGTCAGAATGACACCTGCCAATTGTTAGATACTATCATTGATGTCGACTTTATTCATTTCGTTAAAGGATACATTTTTCTTTGGCTGGATTGTTTTCCTTGGTGGATTTTCCTGGGTCTTATTACATGCCTTCCATCCAATGCACACACATTTCATGCCCACCCAAAGCAAGATTCTCTGCAGCAGCTTGAGATAGGGTGCAGAAGGCCACATTGTGCACTGGGGTTCGGTGAATGTTGGGGTGCCTCACTTGCATAAATGAAAAGGCTTCCCCCCCCCCAAAAAAAGGCATTTCTGTTGTAGTTTTCCTACTCTTTTCAATTTAATTGGTTTTGAAAAAGTTGGCCTAGGGATGAAACGCCAGATTTTGTTGGACTGCATCTCTCACAGTCTCTTCTCAATGGCTATGTTGTCTTGGTCCCAAGGGAGTTGTAGTCCAAGAGCATCTGTGGGCCACATCTGCCCAAGCCAGCACAAAGATGCCATGTTGAATAAAGGCTTAACCTGAGCTGGGGCTCAGCCTTCAGATCTTTCTTCCAAGAACTGATGGAAAGATGAATGTTCGCTTGTATCTGAGACAATGCAGATTTTTAAAAAAATCTTTTAATACTTCCAAAGAGTTTGCATCACATGTGGCTTGTGGACTGAGCATGGGGCCCTTTGCTCAAAATTTCAGGGCTGGTGCTCTTTCAGCTCTGGTCATGAGCCATCTGTGACTTAATACATGTCAGGGTTGGAGAGCCTTTGGCTTCCCAGATGTTTTCAATGTCAGCTCCTATAATGTTGGAGGGGGGAGCTGAATGGGAGGTGAAGCCACAGACACCTGGAACACCAAAACTTTCACCACTCCTGATATATGGAGTTGTCGAGACAGACTTCTAGAACATCTAAGTTTAACCTCAGGGAGAATTTCCTTTTAGAAATCATTTGCTGATCTCAAATGTCCCTTTTCATTTAGATATATTGATAATGACACTGGAAGAGTGATGTATGACATTATTAGTAAAGGATCATATGGAACACAATTCGAAGCAATTCAACATTGCTTTAGGATCATAGGATTTACTGATGAGGTAAGTGATGACTTCTCAGCCAGCTGACATTTTTATTTATTTATTTATTTATTT